TCTGTACAATGCTATCATACAGACCTAATGACCCCTATAGTTGACTTTCTCCAAATGTAAACCTGTCTAGTTGTAGGAAATGAATGAAAGATGATCATATCTCTTATTTGTGCACCTTTCACTAGGTTATGTACCCTTCTGTACTGGCCTGGAATACAAGCCGTTTCCTAATGGCAGATACTGACAAAAATTCCAGCTTTCTGAAGTTCAGTTTTTGATACTAGTTGATAAAGTTTCTAAATCATTTCTTTGTTTTTGAGGTTGCACTTTTGAGGAGCTTATCAGCTATCCTGTTACATACATGTCTGTCCCTGTTGGTGAGCCTCACCTTGATTGGCCTTATTTTTTCCACATTATCATCTTTCAGCTCATGGTTCAGCTTCATTGTTTATGTACTTGTGGAGATTATTGCTTGTCTTTTGCAAGCTTTAGTCAATGGCATCTCTCTGTAGTCCTACAGAAACTTTTTAAGGTAATTTCTGCCAAGATGTCTTACGTTGTCTTCCAGATCTATTTAACGACCGTGACTTGTATGATACGCTCAGTCTGAACACTGTTCCCCTCCCCACATTATCCTACCTGTGAAAGTAAAATACTGCTAACATGAGACACAGAAGGGCCAATGGCATAAGACTGTGAAGGTGGAGCCAATGGAAAAGCATTTTCCCATAATTCATCATTATCTCACCATTTCACTAAGTACACAGGGCACTAAGGCCACCTGCATGCGGATGAGGAGGACTTTTAAATGGGCAGCACAATGACATCCAGCTTTCTCAGAACTCATATCCTATCCTGGGCCATCCAAGCCATGCATCCCCATTCATTTTGCAAATGAATACCTCCTTAGAGGTACTTGGCACAGTTTTAGCTTAAGTACAGTCTGCAAAAGAGTGTATCATAGACACTGCAAATCACGGCTTAACTCTATTCAGTATAATGGAAGTCCCTGTGCCACAACAGGGATTTATTTTTTGCACTGTAGTAAGCTATGGTAGAGAAACCGAGGGTCTACTTTTTGGAATTTTTGGAAACGCTTCAGTAAAAATCTATGGGAAGATGAAAGCTTTCCCGGATTATATTGCTAACATTGAAGCCACCATATTTTTGAGTTGGTCATTTTTGAATAAGTGTTTAGTAAAGGAAATGTCAGTGTCTGTGGTCTATCCTGGGTGCCCACAGACAAAGTGAAAAGTCCCTGAATGTCAGCTTCAATAGTGGTATCGCTGTATCTGAGGAACCAGGAAGAATTCATTTGAGCCTGACAGCTATGCGTAGCTCTCTAGGAACTGAGATCATCCCCGTGTTGGGGTAGGTATAACGGCTTTTGCTAATGACCCAGCCATCTGCTCTTCTGTGGGTCATTTACCAAATATCCAACAGAAATGGTGCGAGGCCTCGGCAGTGAGATCATTGCAAAGGTAATGGGGCAGATGAGAGTTGGAAGATGGCCTTTTCGTTGGCGTTGCCCTGAAGGAAAGGCACAGCAGCTGACTGCACTGCCAAAATGTCTTTGCAGAAAGATGTTTGACATGTTGCATATGTACATGCTTATTCTCCCCCACGATTATACACTGCAGCACCACAGTCTAACACATGTACAATTGTAGTATTGCCTTAGCACAGACCGTCATTTTCAGTTCCAGAATGTAGTCTCCTGCAGTTGTCGTGCTTCCCAGGACATCTCCACCACCACAGGTGGGTAGTCCAGATCCAGAGAGCAAAAGTCCGGAACAAAGTTTTGTTTCAACCAACCAACAAAACTCTGTATGCTTGATTTTATGAGGAATATTACCATCCATCTTCCAGCCCCAGGGGCCCAGGAGTCTATCCAAGGTCTAATAAGACACAAGGCAGGGGAACATAAATACCGTCTGATGTATCACACCGACAATAGACTTTAATGCCACATTCCACTGTCACTGTGATTTAACATATCACATGTTAATAAATCACAGACATGCAAGTGAAATGTTATTATAAAACCACAATAGTCATTTTATAATAAGAATTACTGACTCATATGTGCACTTTAATTAGATTATAGTTGAAGGCAGGCAAACTACACACTACAAAAATAACATATATTACAAAAGCCTAATTTCATAAAGGAATTGTAGATAGCATAGAAGAAATATAAAATCAGTACCACAGCTAAGAAAAAAATAGATTTTTACTGTTTGCAAGAACATTTCCTATTGTGCACTATACAATAGTGGTTGGGATGCACTTCAGTGGCTATGGGCTGCTGAGTATTTTAGGAGAGACATACCTCACAATGAGACCGCAAATCACTAGGGTAAAGCTCCATTCCAACTCCCTGCCAGACAGTCCACATTTTTGCAAAAACATGGACTGTCTGCAGGTCCCTAAGGACCGGATTGGGAAACACTGGTGTAACGTGTCTGTGGTATAATGATGCAGGTCTTTTTCTTGGCCAGTGTCTTCAGCTGAGAAGCATTTGCCAGGGTGCCGACCCCAGCGGGAGACTCAACCTCCCTAAATACCCGACCTTCTCAGCTCTTAACTTGATCTGCCCCAAGAACACCCTACATCAGTGTTTCCCAATCCGGTCCTCAGGGACCTGCACACAGTCCGCGTTTTGCTCCCTGGGAGCTCGGAGAAAGCAAAAATATATGGACTACTGGCAGGGAGCAAAAAAGTCAACTGTATGTTGGTCCCTGGGGACCTGGTTGGGAAACACTGCTCTACATTATGAGGTTTCTATCCTTAATGTTACTTTATAAAAATGCATATTTTAATACATAATTAAAAATAAGAATTTATCTATAAAAAATTTAACTTATCAGAGAGGTTTTGAAGTATACTGTATGTTGCACATTTCGTAGTGTTTTCACAATCATTTACCATTAGATTTAGTATATTTACATAACATGGCATAGATCAGTGGTTTTCAACCTGTGGGCCGCGGCCCCCTAGTGGGCCGCGACGGTATTGCAGTGG